TGTTTTAAAGCAGGCATGTCCTCAAACACCGAGAACAAAGGTTCAGGATGAAAGCAGTCTGCAGCTGGGCCTACAGTTCACTCACAGCAGCATCAGCTGGCTAGCTCCAGGGCACCAGCAGAAGGGGCCCCTTTCCATCTTCTGAGGTCCGCCTGGAGCCAACCTCCCTCCTTCCTCTATGTGGGGACCATCCTCCTGGGCCCCAGCAGAGAAGGGCTCTCAGTCCTCAGTCAGCACTCCTCACCTGGAACTTGGTGCAGAGATCTCTCACCCCGGAGAGGTAACCAGGATCAGGGATGACAACGCCGGCTTCCCCCTGAATGGGCTCCACCATGAAAGCGGCCACGTTGGGGTCCTGGAGGGCTCGCTAGCCAGAGGCAGGGAAAAACAAGGGAGCATCACTATGAGCTCATCCTCTCTACTGAACCCTCACACAAATGGCCCCAGGCCCATCTTCCTGAACTGGAGGTAAATCCACTGCTCTCCACGGTCTCCTGAAGGACTTGAGGGAAACTTCCCTCTTCCTCAATGACACTGGGTCAGAGATTCTGTGTGCACCAGAAAATCTGATTGTGAAGGAATGTTACAAGGTCAATCTTTCTGTTCCACAAACTGATGCTGATTCATCTGCCAGTCCCAATGTGACCTTCAAAAGCCCTTCAGGCAGCCACCCTGCCCCTGAATTAGATTCTGCGCTACAAGGGTCGTCCGTGATTCACACCAGCACACGACTGTCTAAACTTGTAGGAGGCTGATAGAGGTAACGAAGGAGCCTTGTTGTGCTGCTCTTTCAAATGGCAGAGCTCAAAGTCCAAACTCTGGCCTCATACCTAGCACACCGATAGTTTAGAGGAGCTTTCACTGCCCCAGAAAGGGCTGAGGAACTGGTCCTACCCAAAAAGCCCCGCCCCTCCCCCCACAATGACCAGAGCCCTTCAGACTACAAACACCCGGGACCCACAAGGAGGAGCAGCAGGGCAGAAGCACCTCAAGGGCAGGTAGGTCGTTGTACGGGATGATCTCAAAGCCCGGCATAAACGGCCCAAAGCCTTCATAACTTGATGGGTCAGTTGAACTAGAGACAGCAGATAATGTTCGACCCCAGAAGTTCCCAGCTGCAAAGAAAAACAGAATTGATTATTGCAACCAAATCCAGACATTTCACAAATCCGCCCCCCCCAAATAAATCCTAAAAAATTCAGGTAAAACAAAAATCCAAAGGTTCCAATGAATAAGGAATCTCCAAGCAAAAGACAATTGTCTGACTCTGAATGTAACTGAAGAATGTATCCCACCGAATGTGAATTGTTCAAGGCAGGGTTTTCTCATTTCTTCCGATAATCACCACTGTCACAAGCCTCCCGCAGGTCTGACTTCCTACTGCTGATACCTGGCACTGAAGGCATTATGCCAGACCATTGCTCCTTCTCTGCCAAAAGACCACACACATCTCCAGTCAAGGGCACTGTCCGAGGCTTCTGAATATCCTCAGCCCAGCCCAGCACTTACAATGAGGCCTCTGATGGTGGGGACGATGATCAGAAAAATAATCGCTTTGCAGAAGGCTTTCGCTTACTCAGGATCTAGCCATCTACCTTTGAGAAGGCATCAAGTTACATCTGCATCTTCCGTCTAAATTGGAAAGCTGACTAAAAGATCTCATTGTTATTTCTGCTGCTACATCTTTTTTTAAGCTGGCTAAGCTTACCACAGACACTGATTCAACCCCCAAACTCCTTCGGCCTTGACTTTCTATATGCTCATATTCGTTTTAATGAAATGCCCACACAATCGACCTTTGCTCTGAAAGGATGTCATCTAATAAGCCCAGAATGGATTAAGTCCATTAAGACTACAAACCTTGTTCTTTTGCTTTGCCTATTCCATTCAACATTATTTTCTAAAATCCATTTCTCAGACCTATGAAAGAAATACTCCACAATGTTCCCTCAAATTCAAGATCTTGATTTTTGTTTTCTTAGGTGGATTTAAGAAGACTAGCACTCGCTAGACCACAACCCTGCGCCCCGCTATGGCCTTGCCTTCACCCCCTTTATTCCATGGCAATGCTCCTACTGAGCAAGGGCCAACAGCTGCCAAACAGGCCTCTCTCTTCTGCCTCTGTGCCCACTGACTCACAAGCTTCTTTCAGAACTTAGGTGAAAACAGTTTTGCACCTTTTGTTAATACTGAAAAGGCTGGATGCAGTCTATAGGAATAAAAAAAAATCAGCACACTAGTGGTTTTTCTTTTAAAACATAAGATCATTACAATTATGTTGACAAGTTAAAAAAGTTTTAAAAATTCTGTTAAGAGAATTTTCCTTTATTGAAAATGCTATTCCAATAATGATTCTGACTACGACATTAGCCCCTTCTGAACTTCATAAAGACTGTAGAGTTTACAAACTCTAAAATAACCACAACTGAACTCAGATTTGCCATCAGAATCGATTTTGACTTCATAGTAACAGAAAGCTTGAAAAACCAAACACCTAATATTTGAACACTGATAAATAGTCGATAAATAATCTTAAAAGTCAAACCAAGTAATTAATTGCCAGCCTTTCCAAACAGAAGAGAATCTGTCAACGGGATGTAGTATTTGCCACCAAAACAGGCAAGGAAATTCAGCCCTAGGAAGACTCTGGCCTCTCAACAACCTTGACAAAAACACAGGGAAACCCCAAACCAAAGGGTTCTAAGCCACACTGCTTATCCTGGAGATAACAGGCCAGACTTCGACTGAGCTCATTACCCTAAGTTCAATGTTACACTGACTGCCACAAGACATCACCTACTCACCCACCTTCTTGCTGCTACTGGAAAGCCAGGGTCACTTGATGCCTGGTTTTAGAGAACTGACAATATTGCACAACAACATAGCTAATTACTGATTTCTTTCAAAGTTATACCTCTAAAAAAAATTTGAATCTGGTTCTAGTAAAAAGTTTTAGTCATAATAAAAATTATTCAGTCACCCATTTCAAGTAGAGAACTTAGGAAATTTTCTCTCTTGAAGTGAAATAGCTTATAAAATATATTTGGGGATCTCTATTTGATGGTAGTAAATGAGATACTCAGACAGCATCTAGGATAGACCCACAATTAACTGGTAATGAGGGGGAATTTACCAAATATGTCATGTACATAAACATTTCAGATTTTTGAAAATCGCTGTTCCTGACCACAGTAATAAAGACTGACCTTTACATACCTGCAAAAATAATCTTTGCTTTGTATTTCTGAATGCCCTTAACATTGTAGGCCCATTTCCGAGCTAATTTGCAGGCAGTTTCTCCAGCTTCCACACCTTTTCATAGGTTTAAAAAAAAAAAAGATGTTCATTAAATTCTCATCAATTCAACCAAAAACTAAGAGAACGTTCTCATCATCAAACTCGGCTACATCTCCTTGGGTATTGGACAAAGCAAGCCCCCCCAGCCAAAGGCTTTACCTGTATTCATGGGCAGAACCTTGTTGTAGTTGAACAGCCTCGTGATATACTCTTCATAATCGCCAAGTACATTGCTGTAGAAAGCTCTCGAAGTTAAGGTCAATTTCTCAACCTGACTTTTCAGGGCATCCACAATTTTGGGGTGGCAATGTCCTTGGTTCACAGCACTGTAGGCACTCAGGAAGTCAAAGTATTTCCTGCCTTCCACATCCCATACATAAACACCTAGAATAGGAAGATTATTTCATAAGGTTACCAGAAAGTGTGGAATCCCCCAATCGTGGCACCACACCCATTGTTCACAGGAGGCACCAAGTTCCCCTATAGCTAGACTGGAGCCTAAAACATGTGGGAGAAATTTGTCTATCAAACTCAAACACACCAATCAACAAGGAAGATATAAAAACAGGCGGGCTCGTTAATGAAGGACGCCACCTTCTGATCTAATGTTAATAAGATGACAGAGCACACACACTGACACACAAAAATGCATCACTTTCCCCATAACAGACACATTCTGCAAAAGATGCTGGTATATTTGTTTGAAAAAATAAAGGGGCTAAGGCCGTGTCATAATGCTTCCCTCTAGCTTTTCCTAAGTTGGTGCAGAAGCTCCAGCATGAGGATGCTTGTGGGTCAAACTGGGAGTCTGAGCACAGAATGCTGGCTCCCGGCAGGGCCCACACGGCTTCAGGGAAGTGAAGGGTGCCACAGGAGAACTAACCTGAACACAAGAAGGGGCAAGCTGAAGCGGTGGGACAAACACAACAGCACATGTCGACTGTTCATTCCCTAGCAACATCATGGCAGCTCCTGGCCACAATCCCACTTTTAATGTAAAAAGCCAGAAGGATCACCTAGATTAGCACGAACAAAACCCAGCTTTTAACCTGCAGCCAAGAGGCCCCAGACACAACCTTTGGTGATTAGAATGAAGTGAGCAAGGTCCCATTTTCACCCACACCACAGTACCGGCACCCCGAATTCTACTCCCAGGAGTCGGCCCACCCAAAGGGAAGCCAATGTACCTTTTCCTCTTTCCAGGGCTACAGGTAAAGGATGGTAGTTGTGGGCACCATACTTAGCTTCTCGTTCAAAGATCTGCTCAGAAGATGGAGGGCCCTGGACGGTTTTTTTGGTTGCGACTGACGCAGCTGAAGTCACTGAAGAGTGAACACCCCGACGAAGCAGAGCAAGGGTTTGCACGTTTGCTACTTTGGAAAACATTTTCTATTTCAGGAGACTCACACCTTCCTATGGAGAAAAGAAGACATTAATGACCACTGGCCCACCACCACATACCCAGGAATTACTACTGTGTGATGTTAGTACAGTCACAACTTCTATCATCCCAACAAAATCCTGTGCATCAGAAGAGACCCTTGGAAGAAGGGGAGAAGCCCGCCAGAATTTTAGGTGACAAAGAAGGAAGCTGCTTGTGAAAATCTACATCTTACCAGACACAGAGGGACAGAAGCACACTGAACAAAGAAAGGCCTACACTTTAATCAGGTTGGAAAAGCTTTTTGAAAACTTGCTAAACACAAGCACAATGACACTTTCACAAAGAATGGTTCGCTGATATCCCAATAAAACCTGAGGGCCCAGTTAAGCCAGGTACATTGTCTCGGAATCAACCCAATTAATTCAGAAGAGCTCTTATCTAACTAGTGTCCAAAGTCCAGATTATTATAATAGGCATGCAAATCAGGGCACTTAAACCATCAAACAACAAAGACTAGTTTATAGCTGGGTCATAAAGGGGGAGGGGAATAAGCATTTATCCAACAGCTACTATGTGCCAGGCACTGTGCTGAGCACATTTGATGAATGAAGCAGAGTGGTCTATGTCCCATCCCCTACACACACACACACACACACACACACACTCTCTCTCTCTCTCTCTCTCTCTCTCTCTCCACAAAGTCCTCCCTTCTCAGTTTCCCCCCTTGGCTCTCCTGCACGTATTGCACAATCCAGCTCCGTTGACCTTTCTGGAGCCCCTCACACACAACAGCCTGCCTCCAGGCCTGGACACTGGTAGTCGGGCCGCAGGCCTGCACTTCTCTCCCTCTTAGCTGGCTATCCTTGAAGAGGTCTAGGGGTTTTGGGGTGCTGGGACCCCAAGATCGCGGTACCAGGCCCTGCCTAAAAGAATTCAACTCAAATCTTCTTCAGCCAGAGGAAAACTTTATTAGTGGTAAAACATATAGGCCAGGTGACACCCGTAAGGATGAGCGGGCATGAGAGGTTCTCAGCCTTATGGGTCTGAGATTCTTAGCCCCAAATGAGGGCCAGGGTAGATCTTATATACTTTGGGTGACCAGGGAAGGGTCTGGGAAAAAGGTCTGGATGAGAATTCCCAGAGACTGGAATGTCTAAGATTGAATAGACAATGGGAATAGATAATGAAGGAACAGAAAGGTATCTGAATGAAATTAAATGTAGGCTAAGGCTTTCAAAGGGAGATGAGGGGCTGGGGCCTGTAGACAAAAGGGGAGCCAGATTCCCTTTAGGGCAAGGGGCAAAGACCTCGGCTTGGGCCACACCCCATCATCCTCACAATCCCACTTTCTGCAGGAAGATTTTCAAGTCTTTCCCTCAGCTGCTGGAGGTTTCCCCCTGAGACCACCTTCCCTTTTTTAGCTGCAAATATAGTTATCTGGGTGCTTCGGTTAGGATGGGAGCTCCTTCAAGGCAGGGAAGAGAGGTTTGGCCTTTCTTTGAACACCTTTAGGGTGCCTATCACAGTTCTTAATGCATATTATCTGAATGAATCAGGGGATTGGGTTTAATTCCCTACTCTATTACTTACTCTCATTCTGGGCCTCAGTTTCCTTCTCTGATAAAATCAGGGAGTAGAACCAGACCCTCTGGCTCTAAAGAGAATCTGGATCATGCCCCCTCTGCTTCCGCTGCCACAGGGCTGACAAGTATGGTGCACTACAAAGCCAGATACCAATGGCAGCTATGACCACCTCAGTTCACTTAAGAAGCTTAGCTACTGGAGTCTTAAGTCGATGTTATTTATCCCATTAGATTAAGTGCATCAGGGCAGGTCCCACCTTTGAAAAGCCAGAAGAGAAACAAGCCCAAATTGTAAACAATTCCTACTCCCAATACAGAGCCTCCCCAGGCCAGCGATGTTCCCTGACACCCAAATCTTCCTTACAAACACAACCAAAAGCAGGAAAAAAAAACATCCAGGCTATTTTTTTTAAGAATTTGCATAAAAGGATGAATCATAAAGACTTAGTGTAAGGTTCTGATATTATATTCAGTACTCAGCCTGAGGGTCTATTCTCTCTCCAGAAATACAAAGCGCAGCCCCTCTACATCTTGATAGGCAATCTTTGAGACCTGGGTGCTAATCCACCCCTTTCCCAAATCAACTAGGCTCCTCTCCCCCAAAAATAGATCTGTTGTCTCCCCTGAGCCCTTGTGTTCTGCTGACCCAGCCAACAAGACCCCAGCTTCTTCATCTCTATAGTGTGGAAGCAGACACAAAAACTTAAAAAAAGATTTGAAGACCGAATTCAAGGTCCTTAAATCACTCTAAAACAACAGTAGACATTAACCAACATCCCAAGTGAAGGATGCTCTTCTGTCTGAGGGTCGTGTTTACCTCTCTCTTTGTCAAACATTAGCTTATTTGGGGGCCACCTTGACAGGAGTCCAGATTCTAGCTAAATTTCAACCCCCTGTGCGTCACAGGCAGCAGCGTCATCTACTACTCCAAAGCCATTGGCTCTGAGGGGCCAGCCTCCCCAACACCCCCACCACACCCCCACAGCTGACTAGGGCAAGGTCAGCAAGGCCTCTGGCCAGTCTACATCAGAAATGCTGAATGAAAACTGACTGATTTCATCATATTAATACCGAATACAATCTATCTCACAGGATGTGAATAATTTTAGGCTTTTTTCAAGATAGTCCACATCCCTACATAAAAAACTGGGATAATCTAAGGGGAAAGAAGCAAATATAGACTGTTCTCTGCGGTACAAAGGAGAAAAGTCTGGGCTAAAATGCTGGATGTTCCATCGAAGTCCAGGCTTCCATTCCAATTCCACATTTATCATTATGCAGCTACCAGGCACGTGGTACATAGAGGGAAGAAAGAGACAAAAAAGCAGCTCCCGACCTTGTGGAATTGATCATTTTCAAATGCCTTAAAATGATCTTTTTTGTAGAAACTTAAAATCCACAATAGGAGAAAAAAAAGATCCAGCTTAAGATGCAGACAAGTGGTCTTTTCTAAATCAGGCCATCCTTTAAGTCCCCTCCTCGTCCCTGATGCATTCACCTTTCTTTTCCCCACCTCCCCAAGACAATTTACTCAGGGGTAGGGAACCTGCCGGCTTGAGGCTGCACACAGCCCTCTAGGTCCTCAGGTGTGGCCCTTCCACTGAATCCAAACTTCACAGAATAAATCCTCTTAATAAAAGCATTTGTTCTGTAAAATACAGACTCCACACCCAAGGACTCACCCCTGGTTTGACCAAAAGAAGTGACTGTTAAGCACCAAAAGATGCTTTTGATCAGAGAGCAGGAATGGCTGTTGGGCTGTTATTTTGATTTGCTAAAAGCTCTGTTGCTTTCTAGGATTCTAGTTAAGCTATTTCAGGACTCAAGACTTTCATAACATGGGAAATGGGGATAATCATAGCATCTGCCTCCAAGGCCTGCTGTGAGAATCCAATGTGATCATATATGTAAAGCCCTGTGCAAACAGTACAACCAGCACCAGGGCAGAAAGGCCAACTCTGATTCTAGTAAGTTTTCCTGTACAATGGTATTATTGTAAGCTAACTCAGTTCTACTCTTACCTTTCTCCTGGGCACAACAAATCAATAAGTGCCTACTGTATACAAAGAACACTGTGTGCTAGGCCCCGGGAAGATGTCACATTCACCCAAAGCAAAGTCTCCACTTTCTAGGATACGTTAATGACTTTACAATAATAACTTGAATGATTTGGGTAATCGCACTTGAAGGCTGAGGGAAACTCCTTCCTTCCCTCAGCCTGCCTGGGAAGCAGTTACTGACAGTCTGGTCCTCATTTCAGGGAGGTTTTGAGAGGGCGTGGCCAGATTGTGATGTTCCCAGGCAGGTTAGGTCTCTGTCACTGTCTCCTACCTCAATACAATACTTGATTCACTACACCAAAACACCAAAGACAAAAGAAAGACATTGTTGGGTGAAAGGTCCTCCCTTTAAAGGTCACCTTTCAAGAATCTGAGACAATTCCAAAGGACCCAGGCTGGAAAAGGCTCCCCAGCTGCAGAGAGAACTGACAAGTCTGAGAGAACACTGAGGCAGACTTTGTTCACCTTATTTTTCTTGGGTTTGGTGTGTGTTTTCTTTTCTAATATGCCTGGTATGAAAATACCTTTTGCATGACTGCACATATATAACTAATTATCATAGGAGTGGGAGGGAGAGAATTTGAAACTCAAAATTCTTTAAAATAATGTTAATTTTTTTTCCCACACGTAATGGGAACTCTTTAATGAAATTTAAAAAATGTATTTTTAGACTTAGTGACAGGAGTGACCAGGTCAGGTCTCTGGGCCCTGGCTCTGTGACCCACAAGACAGGCAGAAATTCTACCGCTCCAAGTCACAGGATCTGTTCGAGTAACAGGAACTGCCCCAGGATTCTCTGTCTTCCTCACTTGCACTGGGAGACCTACAGAGTGCGGGAAAAGAGGCGAGTTTGCCTCCACGACGAGCCCGACATAACCGAGCGGCAACGCTCAGGACACGGACAGACGGGGCAAACCCTCCAAGTCCTGCAAACCACCTTCACCTGAATTAGCGGCCCCTTGGCCACCTCCAGGAGCGCTCGACGCCCCGCCGCCCCACCCTCAGAGCCTCCCTGACCAACCTCCCCCTCTTCTCTCCTTCCCTCCCTCTGTCTCCTCCCTTTTTCTCTCCCTTAGTCTGTCTCTGCCCCCGCCACGTCCTTCCCTCCCAGTCTCTCCATCTCCGCCCCTCCCCCCGTCTCTGCCTCTCTCCATCTCTGCCCCTCCCCCCGTCTGTCTCTTTCCATCTGTCCCCCCACTCCCACTCCTCGGACCCTGACCCAGCTCCCGGTTACTCGAGGGCACAGAATGGCGCTTTCTCCCCCGGGCCGCCTCGGACCCCGCATTAATCGGGGGAGGCCGCCGGGGCGGATCTAGAGCCCAAGGGCCTGGGTTCCAATCCTCCCTGGGCCAGGCCCGCAGATCACAAGGGCCGCCGGGGGCAGAGCGAGGCCTTGGGCGCGGGGGCAGGGCAGGGCCCGGGCCTCGCGCCCAGGCTTGGGGCCCGTGGAGGGGGGCGGACTGGGCAAGGCGAGCGGGCGCATACAGCAGGCGCCGCATCTGTGCTCGCGGGGCCGCAGCGGCAGCCTCAGTTTCCCCCTGGCTATAGGGCGCCGGGCCGCCACCGTACCTGACAGGGGCTCCAGACGGGCCAAGGAGGCGGAGGCGACACGCGGCACCGGCGGCAACGACGACAGAGCGGCCGCGGCGACGTCACGGCCGCCCTATAGCGCCGGCCCGGGCCCGCCCCTCCCCGCCCCTCGGCGCACGCCTTCGCCACCCATTGGTCGCTATCCGGGCTCTCGGCCAATCGTGGGAGCGGACCCCGCCCCTTCTCCGCCCCTCTGGAGGCCGCCGCTGCGCCATTAGCCTCTGGGTCCTACAGTCTATCCGGTACAATCGCGGCAGGCACCGGCCGGAGCGCGGCCGTCTAGGAGGTCTGAGCTCTTAGGCCCTGAGACCTGAATTCGGGTCCTGCCGCCTCTGGCACCTGCCTTCCTTGGACCCCCAACCCACCTTGGCCTTTAGGGGTGCAGCCTCCTTGTGATCTATAATGGGGAAGAAGGAGAGAGGAGAAGAGAAACCAGGGCAGGCCACCCAGAGGAGGGGGCACCTAACAGGGAAGGGGCTAGGCCTGGAGGAAGGGCAAGCATGTCACTGCCGGGATCTGGGCCTCAGTTTACTTCTCTGTAGAAGGAAGCGTCCCCTTCCAGTCTCACCCAATATTTGCATTTCATCACCACCCACCCTCAGACTGTGAGCCCCCTCCTCTAGGGCAAGGGATGATTTGCCTCTCTTTATGTCCCCAGCGCTTAGCATAGAGGGTATCTGGCACACAGCAGGTGCTTCATAAGTGCTTCTTATGCCCCTTGCCAGCAGGAAGCAGTTTCAGAAACCAAGACCTTCACTCCTTACCACAAAAGAATTTGGGTCCCCTTTGTTTGAGGAGTGAATGATGGATGATGGGAGCTAGACCCCAAAAAGGAAAAACCCCAGACTTTCCCACATGGCCAAATCTCTGGCATTCTTCCCAGGCTATCATCCCATCCATCAACTGGCCTTTCGCTGTAGCTACGCCCAATCTCGCTTACCCTTAACCTAGCCTACCTAGCTCTCCATTGTCTTACCTCCCTATGGCCCCTACCACTTCCCACCCTTAATCCTAGCTAGGCTCTCTTCTCCCTTGGCCCAGTGGTCCAGGTCCCTGGCATTCTATTAACTCACAGTCCCAGCAGACTACTCTGCTACTCCTAGATCCCTCCCACAGTCTTTCTGTATATAAAGTCCGTCTTGTCTCTATTAAGGTGCTCAGATTCTTATAATCTAGCCAATAGCTCACTAATGTTCAGACTCCTTAAGAGTCTGCCCAATATGACGGATGTCCTAAGAAACCTTGTCTTTGGCTGGAAAAAAAAAAGTGCTTCTTCACCGGCAGAAAAACAGATTCCATGCTGGATCCTTCTCTGGGGACCACCTAGCTCTGCACAATCATCTCTTGTGTCCTCTGGAATCCCACTCCCTTTGTGTTGGGAAGAGGGGAGGGAAAAAGGAAGGAAGCATGTATTAAGCACCTACTACATGTCAAATGCACTACCTGTGACATAGATGCTCTTATGATCCCTATTTTACAGTTAAGGAAACAGACAGGCAAAGAAGCCACTTGCCCAGGGTCTACAGATACTAAGTGTCTACAACTGGATTTGAACTCAGCTGTTGCTACTCCAACTGGGCTTTGAAGCAGGGAAAGAGGGTGTCTTTGTCCCTTGATGATTTAAGGTCAGTAGGATCATTTAAAGCAGTTAGAAGGGACCGGGGGCGAGTATCCTCCACCTTCCCTCCCATTTTACAGATGAGGAAACTGAGGCTCAGAGGGGGGGAGGATGTTGAACCCAAAGAGTTAACTTCCTAGCCAGGTAGCGAGGATCCATTCGAGCCCCACTCCAGCCTGTGTGGGAGGCTGCATGGCCTTTGCCCCTCCTGCCCTTAGTCTGTCAGTTGGCCTAACACTTCTGCATCCACAGATGGCCTGAATCCTGTTCCCTCTGCTCCTAGAAAATTTACCAAAGGGGCAATTAATCAGTCAAGCTGAGACCCAAATACAAAAAGAGGCCAAAGACAGTCCCTGCCCCGGACGAATCTCCAGGAATTTCCAATTTAAGGGAAGATTACAATCGGAGGCCTCTCCTCAGGTGAGGACTACCCTGTGGGCTTTCGTCCCATGAATGTTTGAAATCATATAGTCTTCCCTGAACCTAGCACAGGGCCTTACACACTGAAGGTGCATAATAAATGTTGGTGGGATTGGATCATGGAATTTAGAGCCAAAAGATATAGAGATTCTTTATCAGTTAGCAAGCAGCCTCTAGTCTGTCTCCCTAATCTCCCAGCTGAAGAAATTTGCCTAAAGTCACTGCCAGACCTGGCTAGTGAATCCAGATCCTCTGCCTCTCAGGCCTTTCCATGGTTCCCTCCCCAGAGGGCAACTGCCACCCTAGAAGGCAGCTAGGGGTAAACCCTCTGAATCTGCACCCCCTAGCCCTATGGCTCATGAGCCCCCACCGGTGTGGCCACTCCAGTAACTCCAGTTTTTAGAATGGAATGGTAGTCCTCACTCCTTCACAAGGCAATGGAGACCTTGAAATCACTATAGGAAGAGGAGGCATAATCCCAGCTCTGCCCCTCACCGTGATCTATGTGACCTCAGGCTAATCACTTCATCTGTCTAGCTTTTAGTTCCCTCCTCTGTAAGATAAGAGAGTTCGACTCAGTGGCCTTGAAGGCCCCTCCCAGCTCCCAGGCAATCCTGTGACTGTTCTGTGGCTTCATTCCTCCTCACCCAAGGCAAACACAGGAGGGAAGAAGAGAGTTCATAGTGTGTACCTGACTTGATATTATAGCTCCTCATGCACTATGAATCTCTCCATCGCCCTTTGGGTGGCCATCAGCCACCGAAGGGCAGGGCAGATGTTGGGTGTCTCACAGCCTCATTCAAAGTGCTTTGAAAGGAATGATTCTGGGGGCAGTTAGGTGGCACAGTGGATAGAGCACCGGCCCTGCAGTCAGGAGGACCTGAGTTCAAATCCGGCCCCAGACCAGACACTTCACACTTACAAGCCATGTGACCCAAGCAAGTGACTTAACCCTGATCCACCAAAAAAGAAAAAAAAAAAGAATAATTCTGGTCATCTCAATATGCCCTGGCATCCTTCCAGTCCAGCCAAAGGAAAGTCTGTATGCCTTCATACTTTGTGGGGTCAAAAATCAAGAGAAGATAGAATACTACTGAGTAGTAGCTTAGCTTCTTGTCTAAACAAAAGGATGTTAGATATGATCCAGCTTCAGGAAGGTGTTGAAAGACTTGCTAGATTTCAAAGCCACTTTAATGGTAAGTCTAGGAGCCAAACGCCAGGACTTTAACAAAAGAATTTCTGTGAGCTTCAGTTTCCCCATCTGCAAAATGTGAGGACTTTAGATTAGGTCATAACTTAGGTTCCCCTCCAGCTTCCACCTTGTTATACGTCCTAAAGGTCCTTCCAGCTTTAACCATCTCTGATTCTATTCTCCCCCTTCCATCCTCAACACAATCCTTTTTAAAATTTGGACCTCTTACAAAGGCTTAGTTCCATTGTGAATCAGATGGGGGGGGGAAGAATCCTTCTGTTATTGTCATGTTAGTATCATTATAATTATCATCACTGAGTATTTCCTTTGAAAGGCACCTGGTCATGAAGTCCTTACCTCATTTTACTGATAGGGGTATAGCTGCTATATCAGAGATGTCGTCATGGAGACTTGATGGGGCTGGAGACGTTTTACCTAGAGTTCTCCAAGTTATTAGGGCTTCTGACCTTGGGAGGACTTCTTTCCACTCAGAAGCTTCTTGGCCAAGACAGGGAAAGAGGTGAGACTAGGCAATTCTTCTGTGAGACCTCCTGGCATAAGAGGAATTTCTCAGCTCAAAGGACAAAGGAGAGAAAGACAGAACTGGATGGGCCAGCAGAACCAGCTGGTGCTGGGAACTGCCCTGCCTGGAGCCAGCAGCTTAAGGAGCTGCTGAGACTGAGAATCCAGCACCATTCTGTCCCTGTTCTCTCGGAATGCTGATTGCTCCATTCGCTTCACCTGTCCCATCACTCCTTTCTGCCTTCTCCTCCAACTGGTGGGAGGGGAGGGAGGGACAGGTTCACTCCATGATACCTACCCTTTGCCCCCACAGCCATCCCTGCCTACAAACAGAAGCCTGCTCCTCTAAATGCTTGGGTGTCTGTGCCGGTTGTGTCCAGCACAGTGGACATCACACTGGACGTAGAGTCAGGAGGACCTGGGTTGAGATCTGACCTCAGCTACAACCTGTATTAATGGAAGTAGCCCAGTGGATCGAGCCCTCAGCAAGACTTGAGTCTTTATTTCACAGTCCACGCAACACAGAAGAAGGAGCCATCCCAGTGTGGTCACTGGCGCACGTGTGAGCCAGCCAAGGGGAGGCTGCACCACTGGCCAAGAGGAGGCTGCACCAGCCAGGAAGAGATTCCTGGCTATGGCAGGCGTGTCCGGGCAGTAACTGAGTAGGTAGCCAAGATCCTGGAGAATGGGGTGTTTTTAACATCAAAACAAGTTGAAACACCTTCAGGCTCACAAATAAGCTCCCTTTAATTCAGAGAAGACATTTTTGTTGGCAGCAACAAGAAAGTGCTGAGAAGGAACATTGGGGCCTTATCTTTACTAGGCTATCAGGACCAAGCAAAAAGGGCAGGGCGGGGGCTGTATTTTATGGTTTCTGGGCCAACAGTCACTTTTTAGTCTCCCTCGGCCTTGGCAGTAAGACCTTGACTCCCCAACTTCAGTCTTTCAACAGGAACCAAAGCAGTCCTTGGACGCATGACATGGGTAAAGGCTGGAAACTCAAGGAAGGGCCAAAGGTCTTCCAGCGTTCCATGTAGGTCTGCTCAAAGGCTTTCACGAATGACAAACCGTGATGGCTAAGCCTCAGCCTCCAAGCAAAGTGACACTGTTTGAACCAGGGAGAATCACAGTGTTTTAAAATTCTATTTCTTGTTTTCCTGTCTTTCTCTTTCTTTCTTTCTTTCTCTTTTTTCTCTTTCTTTCTTTCTTTCTTTCTCTCTCTTTCTCTCTTTCTTTCTTTCTCTGTCTCTGACTCTGTCTCAGTTTGTCTGTCTGTCTGTCTCTGTCTCTTCTCCCACCCTACCCCACCCAGGACAAGATGAGAAAACACTCTA